ATGTGTGGCCCAAGACTGCTGCAGCCAGACACAAGTGATGCTAGCTACAATAGAAGTCCCATATACAGGAGCCGTATGTCTTCCCCTGACACAGGGGCTTTTCTAGAATCTCTGTCCCAGGCAGGCCTGGGGATGAAGGCCATTAGGATCTTCCCAGGGGTAAGTTTCACCAGCTTAGCACTGAGTTCCAGGGCAAAGTCTTGTGTTTACTATTCTGCCCTAACCCAATGAAAGGGTCTTGCAGTACACTCTACTGTTCAAGTTTGGGGCAGTGATAGTAAAGACAGTCCTTTGCCCACCTGGGCTGACACTAAGCTGGTTCATGATTGAGTCTCAGACCTGCTAGAACCTGCACAGTCTTGTGATACACCAGGGTCCTTGTTGCAGATGGCAGAGATTCAGGCTGAAACAGAGTCATCTCAAGGGTGCAGGTCCTTGCCTGACACTGGGGCAAGTCTAAAGCTTCATTTGTAAGCACTTAGCCTGGCAATGACTGTGTTGCCCAAGGTTGGGAGATGGGTGGTAGAGACATTCCCTTCGTCCCTAAGGCTTCCACTAAGCTAGGTCACTGGGTCACTCCGAGTCTCATAGCCTCAGTGAACTGGTCAGTCTGGAGGGAATGGGGGTAATGTGCCCTGAGGCTACTCCAAGGCTGTAAATGAAAACTGCAGAAACTTGAGTCTGTTCTGCTGGCACACAGGTCTCTGTGTGATGCTGAAGCCAGTCTGGAGACTTCATCTGTGAGCCCTGGCCTGTGTATGGGGCCTTCCGTTCCTACTGAATGCTAGATCTGGCAGTGGGCTCCATGACAAAGCCCTGTGCTAGCTTTCCTGCCCTGCTCCCCCACAGGTAGAATCTTGTTACCTGCTCTGTCTCCAGAGGTTGGAGGAAAAGAGATGGAAGCTGTCAGCCACAAGGCCTAACACGGTTCCAGCAGCTCAGTCCCCTGGGTACTGGCCTGGTGGTAGGAGTCATGGAGTCTGCCCAGCACTGAGTTGCACAGTGGTGGGCCTGGTACTGGATTGCAAGCCTTAAAGCCTGGCCCTAATTCCCTTTCCCTTCCTTGTGGAAGGCATCTCTCTGCCCTGGGCTGCCTGGGGCTGGGGGAAGGGTGGCACAGGCACCTCTCTCCTTCCTGCCATCTTCAATTTGTTTCTTTTTTTTCCCTTCCTTTTTCATTTTAGTATTACAGTGGACCCTTAACTTATGAACTCAACTCATTCTCGAGGGCTGGTTGTAACTCAAGTTGGTCAACTGAACGCTCAGGCTTCTCTACACAGCCTTCAAAGCCTATCTCCTGTATACAGGCAGATCTCAGGATCTTTAGAGAGACATTGGCCCAGGATTTCTCAGTTGACCCCAGACAGAAAAGGATGTTCTAATATTCCTTCCAGAACTCTTAACAGGTTAAATCTGTATAACAGCATCTGGCATTCCGGTCGTAACTCAAGACTTTGTAAGTTAAAACTAAAATGCCAGTTATGACCCAAATTGTTCATATGTCAGGCCGATTGTAGCTTGAGGGTCCACTGTACACTAAAACTAGGTACTTGGTCTCTCATCTGATTTCCTTAGCTCCTGTGAAGGTACTTGGTGAAGGCATAATAGATGTTCAAGATGGTGTGTATGTGGGGAGACCTCACTGCATGATCCTGCTCAGCTACTTTCCTCACTCTGTTTTCTTGTTACCCTTTGGGGTTGCCCCTTTTATGACTCTCCTGCCAATGGCCCATTATTACATTGATGTCTTTGCCTCTTGATGACTTGTGAGGAACCCTTGTACCTCCTAGAGAAGCCCTTTTCTCAAACAGTGAACACCTGTGTGCTACTGTGGACGTAGTGACCATCTCTTCCCATCCTGGAAGTCAGGGCTTGGTAAGGGGCACAAGTAAAATCAAAGTAGAGATGCTTTCACTTTATCACCCTTTGCCAGACTTGCCTGAGGACTGCAGCCCAGGAAGATAGGTAATGAAGGGAAAGGTTCTTCTTGGGAGCTGCTAACCTGGTGTGTCAATTTCACAAGTTAATAAATAATTGGAGACGGCCTAATTGCACCGGAAAAAAACTTGAGATTGTCCAGTACTTAGGCTCCACTCAATTAACTTGTGTTCCTAAGGGGGCTGAGCAAAGAGCAGGGGGCAGTGATCCTTAATTACATGTGCTGGTACCAGCTGCAGCCGACATTTCCTTCCAGCATTCACCAAAGCAGTGAGGTGAGGTGACTCTACTGCCAAGAGTTTGAAGTCTCTGAAGGCCAGGGGCAGTCCAGAGGGAACAGAGGATTCCTGGCCTAATAGAGTGAGAAATGTTCTGTCAAGGTGGCTTTTAAAGTCCCTTCCCAGCCTCTGTTAGAAAACAACCTATAAGGTCCTCCCATCCTGGCCCCTTTATTGGCTCCATCCCCCCAGGCTAATGTGCCTTAGGCTCTTCTCAGACTTCCCACTTCCTCCTGACTCTGGCCCATTTCCCCCAAGGACACAGAACCCAGGGCTCTTATCAAGGGCAGCAGATGATGCTACAGTACTACCCTTACTGCCTAGAGACTGAAATCCTCCTGAAGACCTGCCTTTTGGCATCATTTCCCAAAAGGGCCAGATGGTAAAGTGCAGCCCTTCTAACAATACAGATTCCTGGGCCCCACCACTGTAAGTGCTGCTTCAGGAAACCTGCAGTCTCTGCTTTTTAACTTGTGGTCCAGGTGATTGTTCCCATCAAGCCAATTTGAGAGATGCTACTTCAGGGGATACCTTCGCTCCTGGTGAAATAGCTGTAGATCTTCTGCAAAGAGAGACAGTACCCTAGGGTCAGGACACTGCACTCCCAGTGCCTCTGCAGCTCCACCTCTGTCTTGCTGTGTTTGGTCCAGCAAGTCATTTGTCCTCTTCAATAAGAAAATAAAGGTATTGACCAGATATCTTAGAGTCCTTACATTTCCATGGATCACTTTTTCTATAAGTAACTGATATGTTAAGCAAGCATGTTGCATGGTTTGTACTTTAAAAGCAACTTTTTCCACCAAGAATCCCTTTACTTCAAAATGTGTTCAATGGGAGAAATCTTCCCCTGCCATACAAAAAATTTGGGTGAACTACACTGTATTGTTTTGAATTTACTCTTAGGTAATAGTTACTCTTATAGTTAAATTATACATGCAGTCTTAACTCAGAAATTAGAATTCTAATCATGACTAATAAGCAATACACTCCCAATCTGGCAGTGTTACTCTTCTCCTTTCCTCCAGCTTGGATCTGGTTCAGGCTGGAAGTGCTTGGGAGGTGGGCCACATCCATTCCTTTGCAGTCTGTATTTGCTTTTCCCTTCCACCCGCAAACCTCAAAGCTGTCTCACTTCCTGCCAGGACAGAAATTGTGGGTTCCTATTGGTTAGAGATCTGGGAGGAACTTAAACTAGCTCTTGCTTCTTGAATTTGGGTGGGGGAAATCTCCTGAAACTCTCTCCTTCAGCACACCATCCCTTGTAACCCCTTACTCAACCCCAGGGCATTTGGGGGCCACCTCCAGCCTCTTCTTACCATTGAATGAAACAGCCTCATGTCAGCCCATGGCCCTTTCCTTCCTTGGGGGTTGAAGGAAGGAATCCAAAACTCAGCAACAGGTCTCGCCAAGGAAATCTTGCTCACCAAATTATTGACCCACCTATATTTTAGGGGGGGAGGGGAACCCTGAAACAGATGTTCTTAACAATCCAACTGTACAGTTTGCACATAGCTCTGGGGAAGAGGGACCTGTCCTCAATTCTCTTTTTTTTGTTTTGTTTTGTTTTTGGTACCGGGGATGGAACTCAGGACCTTGCGCTTTCGAGGCAGGCAGCGGAAACACTGAGCTAAATCCCCAGCCCCTTAAATTCTCTTTAGTCTTCTGACTTCTAACTTTTGGAATCTCATAACGTGGACAGGAAGAACTCTACTCTAACCTCCAGACATGCAGGACTACAGTTTAATGAGAGTGACAGCATTTTTGAGAAGAGGAAGCCTGGATACCCAGAGCACAGGAGGCAGGAGCCAGGAGCCAGATAAAGGCCTAGATGGAGAAGGAAGGTCAATATGCTGACAGGACCACATGATGGATCACCTACTTCCTTTACAATCTTTCCTGAGCTCTACACCTGAGTCCTGCACTGAGATACGTACTAATGCTTGAGGCACTAATGTCTATCCTTAGACCTCTAGCTTTGGCTGAGCCAGAGAACCTCAAGGGGGTCAACTCTGTCCTTTCAGAAGATGGCTCTGTGGCTGTGGTCAATGACCAGGTCCCCTCCCTACTACAAACAGCCAGGGTCTTCTCCTCAGGACAACTGCCACATCACATGGTATCCTGCCTCTCCTCAACCCCACATACAGCCCAGACTCTTCTAAATAATAGTGGGTGGATATTGAGGGGACATTAAAGAGACCCCATAATTAGCTGACACTGGCTTCCTGGATGTGTCAGTGGGGTCCTGCCTCCCGTTCTTCTATGAGCAAGTCAACCTGAACTTACTCATCTGACTCCAATTGGCTTGTTTGGCCTGAAGGAAGTCAGGATATCAGATAAAGGAGTGTGTGACTCTGAGCACTGGAAGAAAAAGGCCCAGGGATCAGTGGAGAAGGGGATGGGAAAGAGATACATGGGACCAATCATTCAGGCAACCAAGGATGATCTGAGCTCTTTAGTGGAGTGTGAAGAGGTGGATGGGCTCCCTTCCCCTCTGAGCCTCTGTGCTCTTGGCCAGAATGCCACTGCTGCGTTAGGCAAGGGTTCCAAACAGCCACACTGAGGAAAGGAGATGAGGATGGGATCAGACATGACCCTACAAGTTCTCTCCCCAGGTTCTCAGAGTGGGAGCCTTACAAGCCAAGGCAACCAGAGAGGACAAGAAGCAAAGAAGCCCTTTGGAGACCTCCACCCTAGAGTTCTGGAGTCACAACCTGGTGCCTGCTCCAGCTCCAGCCAGTCTTCCACATCCAGCTCACACTGACCTTCTCCTCTTTTCTTTGGTAGGGACTGATGCCCTTGGCCATGACGCCCCCCAACTGCTGTCTGCTCAGGCACAGCCTGAGTGACTGAGCCACTGCTGTTTCAGCTATTTCATGTAAGTATTTTCGCAGGGGCCAACTGGCTCTTCCCCAGAAGAAAGTGTCTGGGCCCAGAGTAGGGAGGAATCAGGGTGGGGAGGGAGCTTCAGAAAGTCCTGGCCACAGAGAGAAGGGCCTCGGTATTCTTTCATGGACATTAGGTTTGTCCCCTTGAGCCACCCCAGCCCAAGTTGGCCACCACTAAGTCATTCTGCCCCAGACCTTCTAGGACCTGGGTGGAACACAGGGATCTCTTTCTCCTCCTAAAAAGAAGAGGCAGGGGCTGGGGATTTAGCTCAGTGGTTCTGCTGCCTGCCTCATAAGTGTAAGGACCAGAGTTCGATACCTGGTACCAAAAAAATAAATAAATAAAATTTTAAAAAATAAAAAGAAGAGGCAGCATGTATGACAGGAGCTCCAAAGCGCTGCCCCTGGGGTCCTGGCTCAGACATTTGCTCTCCTGTGACTTTAGGCAGATCACTTCATGGCCTGACTTCCCCTCCTATATTGCAGGGTTTGTGTAAGGTTCAGGTGTATTAGTTACTTCTTGATGCATAACAAATTTATCAGCTTGAACAATACTCACTGATCATCTCAGAGTTTCTGTGTATCAGGAATCCTGGCATGGGGAGCAGAGTCCACTGTTTCAGGCTCTGTTGTGGACTGCAGTCAAGGTTTGGACTGAAGGTACAGTTTCATCAGAAAACTGGATGGATGGAAATAGATTTGCTTCCACTCTCACTTATGTTACTGTTCAGTTCCTTCTGATTCATTGAGCTGAGGGCCTCTGCTTCTGCCTGGTAACTGGTCAGAAGACACCCTCAATTCCTGGTCACAGGGGACTCCACAATATGCAGCTTGCTGCATCAAAGCCAGCAAGAGAAAGGTGGCTAACAAGAGGGAAGGCAGAATCTTGTATCTGTTCCCAGAAGTGATCTCCTCTTGTGCTGTATTCCAGTTAGAATAAACACACAGGTCATATACACACTCAACGAGAGAGGAGTACTATATCAGAGGCCGATTTCCTCTGACTGCCTCGAAAGGGGGACAGGGAGGGCCAAAGAAAAAAGAGAGTAGAGACTTGTGTAATTTCAACGCATACTGGGAGGAGGGGCAGAGAGGTCAGCACCTCAGAGCAGACAAGGCCCAAGACTCTCCGAGCTAGCCACTATTTATTGGGGACACACAATAATTGGAGGGAATATCAGGTGACTTGGGGGGGGGTGATCTCCTCTGATCCTGTGCCGATGCAAATCTCATGCTGATGAAGCCGGAGAGCATTCCCACCTCAGTAGGTGGGACCAGCTGGCTGAAAAGCAACGCCACCCTCCCCAGGTGAAACCTCTCTCTTTTGTATTACGACTGGGTTCTCAAGGAACCAGGACATCTTCAGCTGGTGTCACTTTGCCATTGAGCGCCACAGCTTCACAGACCCTTGAGGGCTCAGCTGTGGAGCTGTGTTTCTGCACTTCATAGCCGGGTCTCGGGCAAGGCAACATTGGGCCTTAGACAGCTATAGTCATACTTTAATTATGAAATGATTTTCCCCCATAATTTATGTAGAAATGCTCTCGACAGAGTACACAGGGGATGACTGCCCGGAAGCAGGGGCCATCTTAAAGCCTGCCCACCACAGGAGGGATAACAATTGGAAACATGTTGTAAACTAGAAGATGCTGTTCAGGTTTAGGAAGTTACTGTCATCATTTGCATCCAACTTCAAAAAGAAAATTAGCCACCTGAAATAATAGTGACCCCCTGAATGTGAGGATTTAAATGCTACTAGTACTGAGCCCTCAGGGAAAAGGATTGGACAGGGCTAGATCATTTCACACATTTTATGTGCACCTTCCTGGCTTAGGATTTTGAAATAGACTTCAGCAGCTATGAAATGCCTGGGCCTTCTTTTTCCTCACAAATAGCCATATTTTGTAAGGACTTTTAAAGTTTATAAGAGGCATTCTCTCCCACATTTCAGTTTTTCCTCACACTCATAATTGCAAACTGACTATTTTGTTAGTATGAGTTTCCAAGGTGGGGCGACCATTAAGTGGCACAGTTGAGCTTGAACCTGAGCCTACAGCACTCTGTACTGCCATGCTGCCCATTTCCAGCCCACTGCGGCTGCACAGCCTCTGTGTAAAAAAAAGGAGGCTGAGTGCAGCAGGCAGGGAGGAAGGAGGTGTTTTCACATGGCTTCTTCATAATTTCTTGTTTTCTAAAACAGGCTGGAAGAAACAAAGGAGTAGTCTTGATATTCTGGTGTCAGTGGAAGATCTTACACATTTATTTAATGCTCCAATGTACAAAGATGTTTGTTTGTAGCATAACAGAACAGTAGCCTGGACTTTCTTTCCTCTGGTTGGTACTACTGTATATCTTTTACCAGGCCAATGCTCCCCATCCCTACAAAGACTATTTATTTTACTCTGTAATCTGAAGTGAATAGGAAAACAAGATTTTTAAACCATGTCACATTAACTTGTTTCTGGCATTATAAATTAGCCTAGGATATTATAGGAACATGATTGTTACATAATTTATATCAGAGCCTTTCTGTAAATATGTGCTTATTATATTTTGAATGCCTCCAATATAATTTATTTGCTGTAATTCCAAGAAGGATATGCAAACCAGTCTGTCAACTTCATGGATATTAAATAATGAGAGATTCCATGTGAAGATAATGTATTTTTTCCAAGATTTAAAAAATGCTATTTTGTTATAAAAAAGAGACTTATTGACAGTTGGAGAGCTCCTTATATGCCTTGGGGGAAAGAATTCTCTGTGCAAACGAACTACACAAAATATCAGCATGTTCTGAAGGTGAATATATACATCAATTGATTTTGTGTATTTAACCTTATCTTTTAATTATAAATTTTAAATTTTGAATCTTGGTTGTGCTCTGCTGGAGGGAGTTGGATACACTGCTTAGGTGTTTCCCTACTTGTCCAGTAAATTACTTTGCATTGGTGTGTGTATATACAGTACCTTCCTGCCTTAAAATAATGCAAATTAAAACAGACTGGGCATATTCCAGAGGCATAGGATGGGCCACTGCTACCTCCCCAGCTGCAGGTCATGCCACAGGCCACCCTGCCTCCTAAACAGCTCTCAGAGGTGAGCTTACAAGGTAGTGGAGAAAGATGAAGTGATGTTGGAATGAAGTTACATAAAACCTTCCTCACCTGAGATTAATTTTCCTCCCTCTAGTGCCCCAGCGAATCCAAAGCATGACCCACCATGCATCTATGCAGTCAAACTGGTCTTAACAGAGATGCACAGTTGAATTTGCAGACTAGGTTGAGCTGAGAAATATGATTTGCTGCCTTCTTGTGGTCAATCAGAGTCATAAGTGCCAGTCCTGCGACATGCTGCACAATGAAATGATTACTCAAATTTTAAGTACCTTCTGTTGTCAGAGCACGGTGTATAATGCTATTACGGGGACAAAGAAACAGTGTAAGACACAACTCCTGTTTTCAAAGGATTTATCATTTAGGGGAGTCAAGATATTCCCACATGGAAAGTTCACTAGCATCCCACTAGCCCAGGATTTGAAGAATGGAACATGGAAAGACATTATTATAGAGTCAGAATTGAGAGAGAGAGTATCAGGGATGGGGCAATCAGAGGAGGCTTCTCAGGGACTTTAAGGATGTGCACTGTCCTACAAAAAGCCTCTCAAGAACTCCCATCTTCCAAAGGGTTAAATCCCAATTCCCTGCCTTGTCCGTGAGCCTCTCCAGCTTCATGCCAACCCCTGGCCTGTCCCAGCATTTCCAGATTCCTTACAGTTCTGGAACCTTCCCCACCTTCTCTCCTATTCCAGCTGTAGGATTCAGCTTAGATATAGCACCTTCTATGCAACATCTCCCCCAGTAATTAGTTGCCCCTTCTCAGTGTCCCATGGCCGAGGTCTGTGCTATGGTTGCATGTCTTACATTGTGTCACAATGTATGCTGAGTGCCTTTCATCACTAAGCTGTAAGCTTCCTAAGAACTGGAACACAAGCTTCACATAGGAGACAATGAAAGATATGGAAAGAGAGATAAATTGGTGGCAAGCGTTCAGGGAAGTGAGGGAAGGAGAAGTCTTCAAAGCTCTGTCTGAAAGTTGTGTCCACATGAATGTGTACTACATGAATGTATCCAGGAAGGCACTGGCACGAAGAGAGGCCTGGGGACACGATGAAAAGCCAAGCCTTGATGGGAGGGTGCTCAGACGCAAAACCAGGAGGTTCATTAGGAAGCCATTTCATAGTGCAGCCTTTAGATACAGTCTTAACCGGCATAGGAAACAGAAGACTGGTGAAAGACAAACAAGGATTTGAGGACCTTAAAGTCTGAGCAACTAGGGGTACATACTATGACCTGGTCACGCTAATGTGCAAATGAGTAACCTGAGACCTTGTTGAAATGCAGGCTCTAACTCATTAGGCCAGTGAGGGGCTCCAGGATGCCACATTTCCAGCACAGACCCAGGGAAGGCCCATGTCATTGGTCCACGGAGCACATGGTAGCAGCAAGACTGCACAGCACCTTTGAGTAAATTGGGATCAGTCCCACTGGATGGATGAAGCCGAAGCCCTCTAGGAGCATAATGATGGACAGATGGTGTCTTTGGGTGAAGGAAAATGTATCCTTTCCACCAGGTGAACACTCAGGGTGCACAGCTTGGTGAGCAGGGTCCAGCTAGGGTCCAGCTCCCACTTGCCCTTTGAGGAATGAACAACATGTAAAGCCCTTCAGGGCAGCTTATTGGGACCATGCATACAGCTCAGAGGTGGGTTGCCCAACTGGAGAGCAGTGATGCCTTTAGCCTCTCAGTTGAGTTTGAGGTGACAGTGGGATATCCAAATGAGATTTCCACCTAGGAGCAGCTGAGGACCCAGCTGGAGGCCTGGATTCAGACTCTACAGGCTAATTGATGAGGAAAGCAAGATGAAAGTGGGGTGGAGATTAAGGAGTAAACTAACCCTTAAGGCCTTTTCAGCAGGTAACACTCTCCTCCCAATGCCTTTGTCTCTCTGATATCTTTTAGGTCACTGCTCCCTTTACTAAATGTAAGTGTTCACAGTCATTCTCCCATCCTCAAGATGCCAAGTCCCCACTGTCCTTTCCCCGTGTGTCTGAGAGGCTCAGAAATCCCCACTCACTGGCCTGGATAGCCTTAACACCAGCACTTGCCTCTGTCCTATCCATTCAGCCCCATCAGCCAGAACCAGTGTCCCTAGCCTAGCCACAGGCTTCCAGGAGCCAGGAAGCTATTTTCCATGAGGATTTGAAGGAGAGGAAAGATACTACTAGTGGAATGCACGTGTGAGCCAGGTCAGAACCAGGCAGAATTTCTGAGTTTTGGGTCCTGTGCCCTGTAGCTGGGGCCAAGGGCTTGGGGACCACTGGTGTGTGTGCTTAGGAGAATGGTGACAAAGAACAAGGCCTTTGGGAGGAACCAGGCTGGGTGGGATACCAGCCAAATTCATCAAAGCCTCTGTTCCTTCTGAGTAGAATAGGGTAATCTCAAAAGATTATTGTGATGATTCAGGAGAGAACACAGGAGTGTGAGCGCTAGCACAATGGCTGATGCAGGAGAAGCCCTCAGTCCACAGAGGCTAGGATTCTATTACAGTGGTGCCTCAGTTCACAAATTTAATTCTTTCAAAAATTGTGGTCACAAACTAAATTGGATGAGAACTGAATCAAATTTCCCCATAAGGTCAACATTGAACCTAACCACTGAATTTGGGTTCTTGTCCAATTCAGTTTGCAACCAGAATTGTGGGAAGAATTAAGTTTGTGAACCAAGGTACCACTGTATTCTCTGTGTCGTGGAACCTTGGGACAGGGGACAACAAGAAAGATGCAAGGGGAGAGGAAAGGTTGAGAAGAAGACTAAGGGAGAAAAGCAACAAGAATCTTTGACACTGGACAGAAACGGGGAGCAGAATTAGCACTCTGCCTCCTCACTTCCTTCTGGCAGGAATAGCCTCTGACTCCACAGTCGCTTAGCAGGCCAGGCCCTAGCCACAGCCAGTCCTCAGTCTCCAAGAAGCCTCTGGGGGCCAAAGCCCCCCAGCTCCTGCTACTCTCAGGTCCCTCAGCTCCAGCTGCACCAAGAGTGCTCCTCACCCCTCCGCATACATCTTTGCAGAGTTTGATGGGGCGTCGGGCGGATGACAGCGGGAACAGTTGTTATCACTGGTGGAATCCTAGCTACAGTGATCCTCCTCTGCATCATCGCTGTCCTGTGCTACTGTAGGCTCCAGGTCAGTCCCCTAGGCCTGTAGCCAGAGGCTGCCAGGCCACCAACAAACCACTTCATTATGGGGGCAGAAAGTGGAGACCCACTTTGGGGCCCACAAAGCCCAAAGCCACAGAAGGTGGGAGGTTTAAGCCAAGAAGTTGGTGGTGGTCAAAAGGAAGCAGTGGATCTCCTACATGCCCTGCACCTTCAGGACACCCAGAGAATACACTGGGAAGATACGGGGTCATGTGTTCACCTCTGAGGTTTTAGGAGTGGTGGGAAAGCCACCATTCTGGGGAGACACTAAAGTTGCTTGCAGCAGCTCCCAGCCCTGTTCTCAATAAGGTGTGCATGTTCCTCCCCTCTCTGCCTCCCTGGCCCCCTCAAGCATGCCTTGGAGTTAGCTTACTGAGAAATACAGGGGTAAGAAAAGGTGAAGTATTGGCTTTGCAAACCTTGCAAAGCTTGGAGTATATACTTGGGGAACATAGGCCTTTGGTGTTTAGTTTTATCCCCAGCACCAATAAAGAGCCCAGCACAAGATATTCAGCGGAGCAAGGAGTATGGGTACCTGGGGCCAGGGGCAGGAGAAGCATACACAGTCTCTCAGACCTCCCTGTCTCCTCCCCCCAGTACTACTGCTGCAAGAAGAGCACTGAGGATACAGATGAGGAAGAGGAGGAAGAGGAGGAGCACGACCTTCCATCCCATCCCAGAGGCCCCACCTGCAATGCCTGCACTTCCCAAGCCCTGGACAGCAGAGCCAGCCTGGTGCCTCTTACCAGCGAGCCCTGTAGCCAGCCATGTGGGGTGGCAGGGAGCCACTGCACCTCCTGTTCTCCATACAGCTCCCCCTTTTACATACGGACGGCTGACATGGTGCCCAATGGGGGTGGAGGCGAGAGGCTCTCCTTTACTCCCACATACTACAAAGAGGGCGGACCTCCCTCCCTCAAATTGGCGGTGCCCCAGAGTTACCCGGTGACTTGGCCAGGCTCTGGGCGTGAGGCCTTCACCAATCCAAGGGCTATTAGTACAGATGTGTAACCATTTCTCCCCCAACCTGCACACACACCAACACTGCTGCCCCAGCAGGAGCCATGGGGACAGTGGATGACCCTCCAACAGCCCCGCAAGGACTAGCTCCATTTCTTTGGCTTTTCTTGCTCCATAGCAGAGGGTTCACCAGGATTTAAGCTATTAAATGCATGGAAAATCAGGGTTGGGGCTGACTCCAACCCAGAGCCCAGAGGTAGGGCTGATCTATTGATTGATTTCACAACTTCACCAGTTTCTCTATTGGGACTTCCCTCCCACAGCCCTAGTGCTGCCACAACCCCTTCCAGGAAGCCCAAACCCCTGGCTTTGCAGGGCTAATAAGAAACACCAGAGAAAGCTAAGCAAAGGCTCCAGAGACTTCCAGAGTCCTTGGGAGATGAAGTGGCCATGCCTAGAAGAAAAAGGGACAAGGGGCTAAGAGAGAACTGAGGGCTACATAGTCTAGAATTTGAGATGAGAGGGGAAAGTATGTAAAAAGGACTTCCTCGGGACTTGCTTGCTAAAATCCATCCAAGAGCTAATTTATAATTTAGTTTTGTACTTTGGTTATCATAGTATTGTCACCGTGGCTGCTCCAACAGGGGTACTGATTACTGAACACATCATATCTGCATCTGCCCCCTCTTCATGGAACATATCAAGTTGACTTTAAAAAGGCCATGGTGTATAGTTATTAGTGGGGTCTGTATCAAAAAGCATCTGTCTAAACCTGTCTCCCCCAAAACCCTCCCCTCCCACTTTAGGAAGCAGCTGCCCCCTGCTGGAGAAGCTTTGTTACTAGAGTTCCAGAAGCTTAGCTAGAGAGATCTTGCTGATTGTCTCAGGCTCTGGTCCACCATGCTGAGTGCATTCCCATTCCCAGGTGTGCGCACATACCTGTAAACCAATCACCAGGCTTTGCCAATTTCAAGAGCTGCAGAGGGAAGGGTCCAGGGGTACCAACTAGAAAGAAAAATCTGACCCCCAAACAGCAAGAACAAGAGGTGATTAAGGTGGTAAATCTCCATGACAACCAGCCAGCGGGTAAAGGAAGAGCCTGGAGTCTCCATGGGCAATGCTGCAGTGGTTGAAGCTGCACAAATAGCCTCCTGTAGAGACTGGTGCTCTGCTGAAGCATCCACCTGTGATACCATGGAGCAGAACCCACTTCACCGCACTGGGACCAACAGCCCTCACTCCTAAGCACGGGGGAGAGGGATTCCTGGGGACTGGATATGTCTTATTGGTTAGATTTCATGCTTCTGCTTTCCCTTGGCCACTGCACTCCCTTGTCTCCAGTGATGGACTTTTTATTGCTGTCTTACTCTACTCCCAGTTCCTGCTTATAACCTGGCAGTGGCCTTATGCTATTTAAGTATGCTTGATGAGTTTTCAGATGCCTTGCAGTGAATTATGCCTGTTCTCCCTTCTAAGGCATAGCTAACCCCCACCCCACTAAAGGTTGCAGAGGATGGAACAGGAAAGGAGCTGGGCTTTCTGCCAAAATCTTGACTTTGCATTTGACAAAGGGTAGAGAGCAGCTGAGGAAGTGAGGCAGAGAGGGGAATGGTCACCTTTTTCATCACTGCTTGGAATTAATTGTAACTTGGATTTAATGCACAGTGAGTTGAGAAGAGAAGACCTGAGTTCTGGCCACATTTTGGTCATTCATTAGCTCTAGGACCAGTCCCTCATCTTCTCTGAGGCTCCACTTTCTCCAGGGAACTGAGACTTGCCCAGTCAGACTCTAAGGGTCTTCAGTGCTTCATAAAGTGAGGAGCTCCTAAAAAGATCTGCCAGTGGGCCGCTCCCTCTTGCCCTCATCCTGGCAGGTTCCAGTACTCCCAGGTGTCTGATTCTGTGTACATGCATGTTTGCTGAGGGATGAAAGACTGCAAAAAGGGGGAAAACCCCACAAGATTATAAAGCAAAATCATTTTAATTGCTAGTGAAAAGCAGCATGTTTGACCCCCTATTCTGTGACCTCAAATGTAGACTGATCTTGTACCAGGAAGCAGCTTTAAGTGGGTTAATGAGATCTGTCTCCCAGTACAGAGGAGCAACTTGGGACAGCAGCTTTAACCTACCCATCCCACTGCCAGCCCTTCCTGGCCCATGTGCAACCCTTTGATGAGCTGCTGGGCCTGGCAGCCCTCCCCACTTCCTGACAACCAGCCCAGTGCCTTGTCCCCCTGCAATTCCACACTCAACCCACCAGCCAACCCACAGCCTTCCTCACCAAGAATAACACCTCCATCATCATATCTTCTGCCATTGGGAAAATCAGGACAACCCAGTTAACTATCACCTGCTTCTTACTGGGGTCCCAGAGTACAAAGCATCCCATGCCATTGTTTCCCTAGCCTAACTGCTGTTAACAGTCAAAATCTGGGTCTAGTGTGTTAGACAGAAGGCAGGCCACAGCCCCTCCCCACATAGCCCTCACTGTTCAGGGCACAAGCTCCAACCCAGGCTCGAGATGGCCTCACTGTAGCTGCAAAGGCCTGCTCTGTGGAAGAGGGAGTTCACCCCACCCAACTGCACTATCCTTTTAGCTATGGAGACTGTACTATGGGACACTATTTGTACACTCTTCAAACTGAACCCTAAACAGGAAGAGGAGGAGGAGGAGCTGGAGAATGCCCAGTCCTCTCTGCTATCTTTTTCCACCTCCACGTCACTACTGCTGCTGCAGATTTCTTGTCTTGCATCTTTGATAACTTGGAGTCACAAGCAAGTGAATGTCAAAATAAATGAGAAATTTGAAATAGAAACCTCATGAGGTCCTGTTCTTTACATGGGGACGGGACAGCTGGGCATGGACTTAAGAGTGGATGATCTATTTCAACACCCACAATGTCCACTTTCAACACCGAAATCCACATATTTCCTACCCTCTCCTGCTTACACATTAACAAACCCTGCACCTTATTGCAGGGTATCGTCTATTGCCTAGTCTGAGTTCACATCCAGAGAGGTTTTACTGTGTGTTGAGAGAGGGGACAGAAGCGTAGTAGCTGGTGTCCCCTGAGATTGAAGTGGTCCTGCCCACAGTGTAAGCCTCACTGGGGAGCAACCCAGGCTTCCACTCCTGCCCAGCCCCCCTCACCTTTCAGGCCTGTGGTTTCCTCACCTGTGTACTCTGAGTCAAATTACTGGCCCTCAGAAGCCTGAGGAGACTGTTGTATAGGAAGGGATGGTGGGGAGGGGAGGGACAGACTGCAAAACAGCAGCAGTATGAAGTGGGGATAGAAGGCCAGGAAATAGCTTTCTGTGTAGAAAACAGAACTCAAGAGTGAAGGGCAAGTGCCTTTGAATAAGCGTGGGGGGGGGGGCAGTGGGCAGTGGGCAGTGGGCAGGGCCCTGGCCCTGCAGCAAAACTTCCCTACTACCAGTGGGAGCCCAGCTTCACTTTCAGCCCTGGGAGCAGTTGGCTGAAGCTCTGTCACCACAGCTCTCCACTGGGAACAGAAGCCATGCCCTGAGGCAAATCGCATCATGAAATCCACCTAGCTTCAAGGTATCTATCTCTTCCATCCTTGCAGAGCAGCCAACACCCTCCCCCCATACCTCTACTCTCCCACCCGGTACCTGCTGAGGCAGGGCTGCCCCTGGCATGCGGTTTTGGTGGTGGAGCCAAAGCCTCGACCCAGCTCTTCTCCCTTGTAGCCCTTAACTTCCCTCAGCCTCAGCCTCAGCTGCCTGCACTGTCCACACCCAGTGGGGAGGGATGGAGAGGAGGCAGGAGCAGTGGTCAAGACCACAAGCCCATCACCCTAATATCCGTGGGTCTCTCTGATCAGCAGAGGTCCAGTCCCCATAAGCTGCATCATACCATCCCAAGTCCTCAAACCTGTCCCTGTCACCCTGCCCCTGGGTTTCAGCGCAGACTTCAAGGATAAACTCCTTTCATCATAAAAATGTCACCTAGTTTTCTACATTCAAGTTTACAAGTGCTGCTCAGAGGGTGCTATTTCCAGAGGAAGATCTCCAAACCATGACCATCCAAGGCTGGGGACTCCCAGGACAGCACAGCAGCAAGGGGCATAACCAGGAATCCCTCTGCAGCTGTTTGCTCCAAAAGGAAGCGGCCACCCTCCTGAGCCTCAGGGCCTAGGCACCTCTCCTACCTCCTCTCCCTCCTCCCTGACCTCTACCCATAGTCCCCCACCTCAATGGCCAACATTCCTCCAGTGCCCATCAGCTCCTTCTGTAGAGAGCCAGTGAGTACAAGGTTTCTCCCAAGATACTCTTCCTGCACCTCAGCTTTGGGTCCCCCACAGGGTGCCTCCAGATACTCATAGAATGCCCCATCTTCTAGCACCCTCTGGATTTCACCCTAGCCACAGCAGGCAGGTGTGTTGACAGTAGGAAAATCTTCTCTCTGCTCTCTGTGACCTCATACCCCAGCAGACACAGCAATCTAGTGGCAGTGCTTAGCAAGCGGGATTTTCAATCAGACTTCAGAGTGAATCCTGCCTGGCTCCACCACTTACTGTATGACTTCAGGCAACATTTTGGATCTTTCTGAGTCTCTGTTTTCTCATCTGTAAAATGGAGACAGTAACATCCACTTTAATCCATAGTTATGAAAATTCAGCAAGCTAACATCTGGTGCACATGTTGGCCACTATCATTATTAGGATTTGTAGATGGAGCCAGAACTGCATGAGGGCGCAGCAGGGCGCACACTGGGACTGCTCAGGGCTCAGGTAGAAGGCCCATAGAGCTCCACTCTCCCCAGTGCCACTCACACCCAAACCTTTCTGAAGCCCCTCTTCCTCCGCCCCTTCTCCCTGCTTGCGCCAGGTATTGCCAGAACCATCTTCCCCCTCAAAGCCTCTCTTTATTTGAAATGCTCCTGCCCCAGTAACTGCCTGTAACTCTTTGCAGGACCCACTTGCCCATCAACCTGAAACTGCACTTTTGCTTCACATTTGTCCTAATAAACTGAATGATTGAAGGACAGCATTCATATTCTAACTAGAGAACAAGCTCTTAGCTTGGCTATGTACTTCTTGTTTCACTGATTCCCACTTTCAAGACTTGAGCCTCCCTGAGCCCTCAGCCCTCCCTGAGAAGAGATTTCTTGGCTTGTCCATTCTTGGCTCTGCTGGGCTTCACTCAGAACAGCTGCACATTCTGGCTTCTGTGCTCCCAGGAGTAGGCAGGGACTCCAGGCATTCCTGAGGTGGGCAGAGGAGAAGGAAGGACAGATGTCTGGCAGTGAGGGAAGGGTATGCAACCATGCGGAACACCAAGGAACCACCTAGAATAGAGGTCTGGATTTGCCACATGCCCATCCTCCCTGCCAGTCCTGTCTCCATAAGGTCCACTTTCCATCTGAATCATTCTCCTTCATTTTCCCATCAGACTCCATGGAGAAGGAAGAAGGAAGTGAAACAATACAGCTCTAGCCCCTAGCCCATAGGTCACCGGGGACTCAACTTCCCTGACTAATCATCATATGTTTCCTTACATTGTACTCTCTCCTTCTGATGGACATCAATTTCCTAAGATGTAAAATCTAGGTTCCCTTTCTATATTCAGCTTACAAAATGGTTAAGAAAACTCTGGCTGTGGAACCCTACTGTGGCCCTGGTCATCTGACAGATACTAATTTTGTCACACTATTTTCTACGCAATTTTAGGCAACTTTTCTATATAGTTCTTGGTTGCTTAGGGCATGTCACATCCACAGACTGACTTCCACTGACTTCTACTTAAAGGCAGCTTGACTGGCACTAGGCAACTGTAATACAGAATAAGATTCTGAGGGCAACTTCTATAAATACAATCAAGCCACCCTCCACTTGCACTGTGGAGGGTGAGGGCAGGATTTGGACAGCTTGCCAAGTACCACCAACCACCTGCATACTTACTTCTTCCATCTCCCTCCTGCGGCCACAGTGGAAACAGCTTCATTAGAGTGGCCCAGTCCCTTACCCCTTTCCCCCTTCCTGTTCTGAAAGTGTGAAAAGGGCACTTTTTAGATGGAAAGAAATAAACTTTGAGAGCAGACTCCTTGATACACTGGTGATGAGTTCTGTTCTGGATCTAGTTAAATGACTAAAGATTAAACAGAAGCCTGACCCACCTCACAAAGTCCCCTGAACTCTTCCCCCAAATAAAGGGGCCCAACCAAAGGGAGAAGCTTCTCCAGACAGCCAGTTTATGCTGGTACCCTCAGGAAGCTGAGGAGGCCTGAACTCTAACCACAGAAGGGAGCCTCTTACTCTTCCCTTGCAGGGAGGATTCCTGGATCGGGGGCAGGAGGTATCCTGTTCCTTACCCCTAAAAATCAAGATCACTTATACCAGACACATGCAGGCTATGAAAATCTCAGTCTCAAGACTGACACAGAAAGTGGAAGACTGACCACAGGAATTGGGGATGGGGAGCAAACCAGGCCCACACTCCTGGCACCTCCATACTCTCCATTCAGAAATTCACCCAATCTGATCCATTTTAAATGATCTAAAAATCTACACATTCAATAGAAATGTGTACATCAGGCATACATCTCCCTCTAGAGTTAAAATATCACTAGGAGGGCCGGGGATTTAGCTCAGAGGTCTCGGCACCTGCTACGCAAGTGCAAAGACCCGAGTTTGATCCCCAGTACCAAAAAAAAAAAATCACTAGGAATTTTCTCTACCCTGATTACCTGTAGGGGGCCACTGTGAGATGTGAGGGTACCTGGGAAAAAGCCCATCCTTTAGTGTAGGTGCATGATGGGGCTTCCTTATATAATAATGAATCAGCATAGGTAACCAGCATGTGCCACATGGCCTGTGGTCGCCCAGAAGGTTTTGTCTACGTTTTAGTAAACTGATAAAAATTACTGTAAGTGCTTTGTTGGAAAATAAAGCTGGGTTCCTGCTTTGTAGTCTGCTCCAAGCATGTTTTCTTTGGGAACCTCGCTTGACCAGGCCTCCCTTTAGGCCACTGGCCCTGACATTACCTCATCTGGAAGGACTTTTCTTTTGCATTTCTGAACTTACACACCCATCTCCACCTGCCCAAATCCTACCTTTCCTTCAAATCTGTTTCTGTGATTTACTCCCTTGACATCTCTGAAAGTAATCCCTCTCTTTTCTGAATAAGCAAAATAATACATTTGCCAGCTGTGGCAGCATACATCCATAATTCCAGCACTCAGGAGGTTGAAGGCAGGAAGGATCACGAGTTCAAGGCCAGCCTGAACAACACAGTGAAACCCTGTCTCAAAAAGGGGGTGGGGGAGATTTCGCTCAGTAGTTTCAGCTCCTGCCTCGAAAGTGCAAGGCATCCCCAGTACAAAAAAAAAAAGAAAGAAAAAGAAAAAACTTCACCTCCCTGCATATTCTGGTTGGACTGCTGGTCTCTTCCTCTGAACAGGTTGTTTCTCCAAGGATGCCGCTGTCACTGCGTTGGTCCAGCACTCAGCACAATGCGTTGCGCACAGTTTGGAAAAGCTAAATTCTACTACAAAAAGGAGGATGCCTTTCTCCCTTTCATGAGTCTGGGTCTGGGATTTCCCTAATCCTCAATTCTTCTTGTTATTGTTGTAAATATACACAAAACTTACCATCTTAATCATTAAAATTTTTATTGCTAAGTATACATTTCAGAGGAATTCAGTACATTCATGTTGTGTAACCACTGTCACCACCTATCTCCAGAACTCTTTTCATCTTGTAAAACTGAATCTCTGTACCTCCTGTAAACAATATTGCCTCATTCTTTCCTCCTCCAGCCCATAGCAACCACCACTCTACGTTCTCTCTCTATGGCTTTGACTATGTTAAGTACTTCACACAAGTGTAATCATTTTTTGTGGCTGGCTTAGTATGTTCTCAATATTCACCATGTTGTAGCATATGTCAAAATTTCCTTTTTAAGGCTGAATATTCCATTATATATAGCATATACTATACCATATTTTGCTTATCCATTAATCTGTGGATGGACACTTGGGTTGTTTCTCCATTGTAACTGTTACGAATGATGCTGCTAAGAGCACGATATCTGCTTACATTTTTCCTTTTTTAAAAGTAGCTAATATCTTGGTCCAGGAGCCAAGATATTTCCTTAGTTTAATTTGATGCTGCTGCTTCTACACAAACATTTGATGATCCATACTGTAACTTCAGATTTGACATCATTTCTATTACAACCTGTTTAAAATCACAATTTACTTAGAGTAACTAAATATTTCATAGCCCGTCCTTTCCTTAATAATCTGTTTTTATAGTACTGAGGCTTGTCTGTTTTGGTGCATTTAGAGAAGACTGTTAACATCTTCAAGTGGTGTTATGCCATAAGAAAATCATGTTGCTGCTGTATTAGGAAATTCTGTTCTTCGCCCTCCGGCTCATCTTATCACTTGACTTTAGCCCAGTTCACTTAAAGCTCATAATTTAAGATATGCTAACCCCTGAGAGTTACTGTTTTTCTCAACTACAAGAATAAATCTTGCAGACTTTCAGGATTCTATTCATACTTGACAGGAAATGATTGTAAAAAGTTTAATAAATCCTTTGGTTTTAGTTGAGTACAGACAGTAGGGGAAAATGCTTGAAGAGGGGCGGTGAAGGGCTGAGATAAGGTATTCACATGCTTCAGCTCTCTAATCCTCACTGGGCAACATTCTGAGACTGAAATTCTTAACACGCACCCACCTTCCCCCTTCAGGCATATGCCCACACTTAAATACCTTCCCAATCAGTCTGGAGAAACCCTGGGTTGGAGCAACTCCCAGGGCTGTACTTATTACTTCATTCTTTCTCCCTTACTTCATGAAAGCTTCATTGAGTTGGAATAGCAAAGAATGCTATGTGACAACTGCAGTAGACTGTAGGCAGTGTCTGCACTGTACCTCTTTCACTAATGGAAACAAACGCTACCTGCCCATCACAGGATTCTTTAGCTCCTCAGCTACTTGCCAAATGATTGGAGTGTCCTTTCCCACATTAATAACCACATCTCATTTCAATAAACTATTTTGGAAACTTTAATCAAGAATCAGTCAGCTGAGAAAAATTAAGGAGATTTATTTTTTATAATAACCAGAAAACTAATTTGAGTAAGGCACATTCAACTTCTATATGAACAAATGCAAAAGTAAATGTAGGGAGAAGAGAAATGCCAAGAAGCCCGACATCAATCCTGGCAAAGTCTATTAATTTTTTAAGTACACAAAAGCAAAATTCACTAGGGTTCAAAAATTTTGCTCAGCACAACAGTCCTAGTGAAGATCACCTTGCTGGACTAGTCTCATTTTTTTGTTATATTCTATGAATACTCATTTTGTATCAATACTCATCTATCAATATTGTCTTTTTGTTTTGTTTTTTTGAGACAGGGTCTCACTATGTGTTCCAGGCTGGCCTTGAACTCACTAGGTAGCCCAGGCTGGCCTCAAACACATAGCAATCCTCCTGCCTCAGCCTCCCTAGTGCTGTAACTATAGGTGTACACTTCTACATCACATGCTGTTTCCTGTCTTTCACAGATAAAAGTATAAAACAAACAAAAGCTGTGTAAAGAATCAAAGCCAACTTAGCAGCTAGCACTTCAACTGGGCCACAACTGTGCGGATGGTGGGTCATGGGCACACTGAACGTCATTAACCACTGTAACCTTGAAGGATCCAAATGAAACCCATTAAAATTATTTTACTGACTAGCTTAAAACAGAAATGGAGCCAAATGTGGTAGAACACACCTGTGATCCCAGCACTTTGGAGGCTGAGATAGGAGGATCACTGTGAGTTTGAGACCAGCCTGGGCTAATATAGTGAGTTCAAGGCCAGTCTGAATGAACCACATAGTGAGACCCTCTCTCAAAAAAACCAAAAACCAAAAACCAAAACAAAAATAACCCCCCAGAAATGAGACAAATAGCATTACTACCTCTAGTGATATGAGCCCCCTGGATCTTCTCTGCTAATCTCTGGAAACTAAGTAGAAAACCTAAATTTTATCTTATGGAAATAAAAATCTAATTTCAAAGACAGTTTTTGATTCCCCAACTTGCTTCTACAACTCAGGTATTACTCAAGAAGTGATTTATATTTATATATAATGTAATGAAAGATATTCTGTAGTAATAATTGAATGGTGATGTTTAAGTACCATGTATAATACCAAATCCCCACAAATCTAGGTCAAATAAGCAGAAACATTTGAGAGCTTGAAAATATAAAAATAGAAATAAGGAAGAGAAATTAACCTAAAAGAGTACATTAGATAATAATTTTAATTATTTGTACATTTAAAAAATAGTTTTATGCTTTAAAAATAATCATCTAGCCGGGGATTTAGCTCAGTGGTTCTGCTGCCTGCCTGGCAAGTGTAAGGACCCGAGTTCAACTGTGGTAGCAAAAAAAAAAAAAAAAAAGACAAAAATAGTCATCTAGTCATAAGAAGACCCAGATCTAATACACTGCTTCTTTTTAGAATGATTTTTGAAATAGTGGACAGAAAACTGACAAGTCTCAGTTGATTGCACTTATACATGGAAAGAAAAATGTTTTTAACAAAGGCTAAACAGCAAACAAAAGAAATTTAACTTTCAGAAATGTATTATCCTAAATTCAGCAAATGATCAAAAACCACATTTAACTAAATGAAGAAACAATTACTTTTGTTTCAATTGCAATCTCTATCAGATAGAGGCAGGTATGTATACTGCAGACTGGTTCCTTTATAGATCTGAGGCAGCACAGGTCAGCAGGGCAACGTAACAATTCTACAAGGCACCACTGGTTTGGTGATATAATGCTAGTATCTAATATAGAAAAAAATTTGAATATGGTATACAGATTTTTCTTCAATTGCCTGATTTTATATTGGATTGACACTGATATTACATTCATTATACTTAACTTTGTGGTTAGGTCTCTCCTCAAATCTACGGAAAGATTCCTTCAAAGTCCCAAATGCAAACTATTCCTTCAGGTATACCTCTACACTCAGCTGAGCATACCTCAGGCCCTGTACAATTATGTTTTATACTTAATTTAATCCTACAAAAACACAATTTTGTTTTTCCTGTGGCAAATATTTTCAAATAGATCCTTCCTCATGCCTTTGTGATACTCATAAGTATCATTAAAAGATCCTCATAATTTTCTTAGTGTTTCCTAAAATCCTTCCATTTTTATAATCACATGACAACTATATGCATACATATACATATATATGTGCACCCATGCACACTTGCGCGCACACACACACACACACACAGACACACACATAAATACATATGCTCTCTTAGAAGTAGAGAGGCCAAAACCTAGTTAAAACATTCCCAGACCATGTATTAGAACAGACTCTTTGATAGGTCTGGATCATTTTACTAATTTCTGCTTTCAGAGCTCAAATATAATCAACTATTACGATCCATACACACTGTTCTCAATTTTTTCTTACATTCGTAGAACATGGTCCAACAACTGATTCTGGCTATTAAAACTTCTATGAATTGTTATTTTTGCTTTTTCTCACTAAATTAACATCTTCTGCATTTCTCTAATTCTTAACATAATGGTACTTCTAACTGTCAAGAAATGAGCTGCATTATAAGAAGTTCATCACAGTGTAGCAAATAAACCATTTGGTAAAATGTACCCATATAAAAGCTACTGTGAAAATTGGTTATCAACTTCTGCCAGACATGGTAGAACATACTTGTACTCCCAGATACTCAGGAAGCTGAGGAAGGAGGATCACCAAGTTCCAGGTCAGCCTAGGACCTTGTGAGATCCTGTCTAAAAGTTTTATAAAGGCTGAGGATGTAGTTCAGCTCTCCCTGGGTTCAAGTCTCAGTACAAGAAAGAAAGAAAGAATGAATGAAAGAAAGAAAGAAAGGAAGGAAGGAAGGAAGGAAGGAAGGAAGAAATTGTTCTTTTTTCATCCTAGACAATTATAAAAACTCCATTCAACCTAGACAGAAATGATTAATGGACAGGAACAAAAGCATCAGAAAAATGTTAGTAAATGCTACCTTATACATTCTGCTGTTCCACTATTTTTGTTCTATAAACTTCTACTTCATCTTCCTACTCATAAGTTTTAATACTTTTAATAATTTTTCTACTCATTTCTCCTAAGAAATTTCTACTCATAACTCATATCTCTAAGATTTTTTTTCATTTAATCAATGGTTTTCAAACTTCATTATGAGTGAAACTTCTTGTTCCAATGGAACCTTACACAGAAACTGAACATATAAAACAGTCAAAAGCAGAACTGCTCTGATACAGAGGGGAGAGGTGCTGGTAGTTTAAGAACCACTACTCTAAGTCATTCACGAAAGATGAAGTAAAGATACAGCCAACTAAAATTTCTTAATTTCCATAATAATAAACAATTTCCCCATTCATTCCAATATTTAAGAATTTTTTTGAACAGAGCTGCGTTTACCTCAGCTCCCTAATGGAATAAAAGTATAGTGCCTTACATAGTATTAGATAAAGATTTAATGGTTTAAATAATTTTTTTCATACTACCCAAGTGTAAATTAAGTATAAGACAATCCTACAACAATTAAAGTGAGTTTAAAAAATATTTAACATGTAATACAAAAATTTTCTAAAAATTACCACTGCTTTATAACATGGGCTTTACTCCAAAGACTATCCAAATAACTCTTCAGTCTTACTCAAGAAAGCAAAACTCACTCTAGATACTCTGAGAATACCTTCCTGTACAATGGTTCTGTTGCTATATTTTGGGATTTTAAAAAATTCCTTAGTTTTATACACAATATTTTAAACCTGATTCACTTGAAAAGGCAAAGAAAAATTACGTCAGGTCAATTTTTAGCTTTATCAAAGCTTACATTAGATTTTACAAATTGCAAAACATGAAAACTTCCTTTCTAAAATAAGTTCACTTGTGTTTCTCAGGCTATTCCCTCACATTTATCAACCTCCTTTTAAAGGGCTTTTAAACTGACTTTTCATAAGCTAAGGCCTTCCATAACCAACTCTGTGCTTAGCTTTATAAAAAGCACCCTTGTTCTTCTATGTTCCTCACTGGCTGGACAGGCAGCACCAGGTGTGAAATACGGCTCCACAGCCCACTTAATTTGTCTGAGTCCATGTGGTTGAAGGAGCTGGGAGTGTTCGAGTTGGTAAACTTGGCCCAGAGTAAATCCCTCACTTTTTCTTCAGTTTCTCTTGGCCCTACATTTGCTTCTAATGTTTCTTCTTCCAGCAGAACAGTCAGGACAAGGACCACATCTTTAAAGGCAGCATTCTCATGATCACAATACTTGTAGAAGATCAAAGTGGAGCCTGCAGGAAGAGATTCAAAGTGGTGTACCACAGCAGCCTTCTGGCCTTTCTCAAATCCATAGCTCAGCTCCAAGTCAACAAACAGCTTAACTGTGTCACTGTCCTGAAAGGCTCTCTCAGCCCCATTAATTGTAATGGCAGAGACTTTCTGAGAAGAGGTGTAGGCATCAGCAACATGGTGGCTCAGGCACTTCAGGGTCTCTCTTCCCTCTTGAGCCGCTGTAAATATGATGGTGGCTGGCTCGGTGGGGTTTGAAGCATTGAGGTGCTTCTGCAGAAACTTACGTCCTCGCTGCCACAGGAAGGAACTCTGGCCTGGAAATTTATCCTTTAATTGGCTAAACTGAGCCAAGAAGGCCTCCAAAGCTGGATTCTGGGGCACTTGCTGGGCTGGAGATGAATAGTAGCTACTAACAGAACTTAGCACAAGAGCCACAATCAGGGAGCCAAAAATGATGCGGCCTTGAAAGAATGAGAAAATAATAGAAAATTAGAGATAATATGAGTCAAAAACCCTATGGTAAAATGAAATGAAGCAGAGATTACTATCAGGTTTTACTAGGAGTTCTAAATTCTTTTTGCCTCAATCTCTTAAACTTTGACTATTAAAATATACCAGAAATATTTTTTCTCTAATCGCTTCTTCAATTACTTGAAGGTACAACATCTTTGCTAAAGGTAAAAGCTAAGTTTATGCATTTTTTGTTACCACTAATGATGTGTTTTAGAAGTGAGCTATTTAAGATTTTCCTCCATCTTCTCCAAGTACTTACTATCTATCACAGGCACCTTTTAGTTGTCAAAACTTAGATATGCCCCTTGAGAAGTTAGCACACACTGACTGAAAAGGTGGTTTTTAGCCAGGGTTGTAGCTCAGTGATAGAACACTTGCCTAGCATATGCACGGCCCTGGTTTTAGTCTTGAGCACCACCAAAAAACCAAAAAACCACAAACCTTGTGAAAAGGCAGTTTTAGTTTCTTTTTTATGGAAAGACGAAAAGCTCTTTCTACTGTGAAAATTTCCATTTTATTAAGCTCAGCAAAATATCAGCTAGCATCCCACCCGTAAGGGAAAAAACACCCTTAAAATTTATCTTACTAGAACTAATTATCAGATGTGTTAAAAAATATATTTAAAAAATGTTTAAACTATTTAAGTGTGTTAATATTCTAGGCATTTTCACTGAGGATTTATGAACATGAATCAACACTGCAATAAAATCAGGTTTGTTCTCACCATAGTTCCAAAAACTCTTTTTCTTAATCTTTTTTATAGTATCCTGTGCAATCTCTTTCTTTTCTCCCAGTGTTTGTGTTTCTTGTTCATGACTTCCAGCCTCTGGGAGAAAAGGAACAATATTATTTTAGACAGTATACTAATTAAGAACACATATACCTTTATATTTCTCATCAAACTAACTAAAAGGAATTCTACACTTACTAAAATTTTATACAAGGAAAGACTACAGATTAGCTCATTCCACTATATTTGGTTCTTTCTTACACATAAACTATACTTTTTAAACAGTATTCTCTTTTTCTACTCACAGTAAACCTTTATAATTCTGATTGCAGAAAATGCTCCATACAATTACATTCATTGACAAACATCGATAAAGTTGCTTTTGCGTGCCAGGTAGCAGAGATATACAATGAAAGAAGGGGATATAGTCTTTGCTTTCAGACTATTCTAATGCTTAATGAATGAAATATATATATTTTAAATCATTCACTGATTTCCAGTGAAACATGAATTATTAGCCTTTGGTCAAGCCCTTGAACAAAATGTCACATATTTCACATTCCTTTGCACTGACAAATGTGCATTTTGAACTGAGATCTTAAAGTACTTATAAAATTCACATCCACATATATAATCAGAAGTTAGAGCTACAAAGACTCAACTTCTTCATTTTATAAACAGGAAGCTGAAGTATCAGGAAATTAAGAGACTTGCCTGAGGCTGCCCAATTATCAAGTGGTAGGACCAAAACTAGAATCCACATCTCATGAGTTTCAGTTAAGGATTTAGCACACTGTAACTCTTACCTTCATAAGGGAAGGCATGCTTATTCTCCTTAATATACAAAGTATACAAAATCAGGTATAGAAATTAACTGATTTGCTCAAAGGCCTATAAAACTAAAATATGACTGAATCAATATACTATTACTTTTCATTAAAAAGTATACTATCTAAGGTGGCAGGGATTTAGCTCAGTGGTTCCGGCACCTGCCTCCCAAGCACAAGGTCCTGAGTTTGATCCCCGGTACCAAAAAAAAAAAAAAAAAGTATACTATCTCTTGATTTATGTAACATTTAGTTTCCCAAAAGGCGAAAGATTTCAAATTTTTAAAAAATCAAATATCCTAAGATATAAAAACCTACAGATGAATTTTTAAAGTCATGCTCCTTTTTGTCATGTTACATTAATATAAACACTGCTTTAAAATGTAGTTTATGTATGGTAGGCAATTTAATATAGCGGAATGAGCCAGTCTAGGAAATGAGAAATTTCACTCCAGTATCATACTGGTTTGTATGACCTTGGGCAAGCCCCAAAGTTCCTAATTCTTTAAAAGACAAAAGCCAGCCCTGGTGGTAGAGGCTTGTAATCCCACCACTCTAGCAGGCTAAGGAGGGGAGGATCAAAAGTTCCAGCCTGCCCAGCCTGGGCATCTTAGTGACTTAACAAGACCCTGTCTCAAAATATAAATTAAAAAGGACTAAAAAACGGGGGGGGGGGGGGTAGTGATTTAGCAAGCCCCTGCCTCAAAACATAAAAAAGGGCTAGCTTACTGTGAAGGCCATAATGTTGTTTTAGGCCTGGGATGTCCCCCAAAAGCCTCATGTGTTTGGAAGTGACTGGATCACGGGGGTGCTATACTCATCAGTAGGTTAGTCCACTGATAAGTTCAGTGGCTGAGTATATGCTGTTGGAAGGTGGGCCTGCTTAGAGACAGGTCACTGGGGTCATGACCTAGAATGGCATATCTCCTTCCCTGGCTTTTCCTTTTGCTCTCTTGCTTCCTGGCTACCACAACATGAACAGCTTTCCTGCACATCAGGCCCTTCCATCATGCCATTTCTACAGTTAAGACTGCCAACCATGGACTGAAACTTATGAAACTGTGAACCAAAATAAACCCCTCCTCCTTTAAGTTGCAGGTGTCAGGTATTGTGTCTCAGCAAAAAGAAAGTGTCTTAAGACACCTGGGTTCAATCCCCAGGACCACAAAAAAAAAAGACAAAAATTCTCTGAAAAGAAGGTTTTGACTTAGCTCTGTTCTCAGCAACAGAGCAAAACCAAACAGTACCTCAGTGGGTTCTCTCACCTGGTGAAGGCCATCGCCTCCTCAGTGAATCCTGACTCTCTCTTCTGGAATGACTGGGACTTCTGGCCTCCTGGGAGTCTGCAGTAGATGGCTCCTGAGAAGGTTTGGTTCTGTCATTTATTTCCTCAGGGAGGGAGGCAGAGCTGCTTCCCAAGTTTGCATCTGCTTTTCTTCCCTTGTCACTTGGAGAATGATTAGCATCTGGATCCAAGGGTTCTTTACCCAGATTTTCTGAAGGAAGGTGATCCTTTTGTTCCCCATCCTGAAAACTCAGGTTGTTCTCATCCTCTGTTTTATCTTTTGGATAGTTCCCAAAATTTGTTTCATCTGACCTTTCTGATTTCTCACCTGTATCTGCACTTTCTGGGCCTTCTTTGCTAAGACCAGAGGCAGGGTTTGGTGTCTGAGCTTCTTCAGTGGAACTTGCTGTGACTGTGGTTTCCTGTTCCTGAGAATTCACTGATGGATCATTTTCCAAATCCTTTTGAGAGTCTAGTGAGATAAAAATGTGTAATTTTCATTCAAAAAAGTTTCCCCATATTTTCTGTATTGAACAAGTCCCTGATTAACATTTAAATAGTGGCTTGTAAGGCACTCTTCCTAAACAGTATTTTGCTTGCATCCCACCAAAGGTGATAAAAACAAACACTATCATATTAGTATATCTAACAACTAATAGTAATGTAAAACAATTTTGAATGACAGAACCAATTTTTGGTTACATTAAATATATCCTCTTCCCTAATGAAAGGCAATGATTATCAATGGCAGCTCAAACCATCATGCCAAAGGTTGATGGGGGATTTTATCTAGGATGAATTAGACTGACAAGTGCTACACCCACTCATCAATCTTAACACTACAATAAAAAGGGAAAACGAGCTATCATTAATCCCCTAGTACAGTGCAATAGAAAGAACCCTATCCCACCTATGAAGTATTCTTGCTAAACAATTAAACTTAAATTTAATTAAGATTCTAAAGCTAACAGTCAGTATCGAATGCAATCAGAAAGAAATAAAAATAAATGGCAAGAAAAAGGAAAAAAAGGGCGTTAAGCTTCCTTAGGCACATCAACTAAATATAATGTGTGGCCCACAACATTTAGATCCAGTTCTGAATAAGCCAATCATTGAAGAAACCACTTAGGAAGGGAGAAAAAAAAAAAAAAAGAAAGAAACCACTTAGACAATCAGGAAAATCTGACTGCCCAATTATCTGATGATCTTAAAAAGCATTATTCATCTTTTAAGTGAGATAAGGGTGTTGGGATTTTATGAAAAGAATCCTTATTTTCTAAAGACACATATGCAAGAAAATTACAGGATATCTAGAATTTGCTTCAGCTGAATGATGAGAGAAGGGCGAAGTGAGGGAGTGCAGATCAAATAGCATCAGACATGCTGACAGCAAATGAAACTGTTTAATAGGTACATGAAAATTCACTTCACCTCTACTTTTATATGTTTAAATATTCTATAATAAAGCTCCTAAAAAAAAAAAAAGGGCAAACTAGGAAATGTATAAATAAAAGGTAATGTTGGCCGGGAATTTAGCTCAGTGGTTTCGCCGCCTGCTGCACAAGCACAAGGACCCAAGTTCGATCCCCAGTACCAAAAAAAAAAAAAAAAGGTAATGTGTATCCCAAATGTAAAGCAGGAGGAAGATCTGTTAAAAAAAAAAAAAAGAGACAATTTGGAAATTCAGAAAATGTTGACTATTGACAGGATATTTGATGTTATTAAGGAATAATAACTAATTTGTTTTTGGCTTTTTTTTTTTTAAAAAAAGAAACTATCTTTAAGAAATATAAACTAGGGCCAGGGATTTAGCCCAGCGGTTCCGTCGCCTGCCTTGCAAGTGCAAGGACCCGAGTTCGATCCCCAGTACCAAAAAAAAAAAAAAAAAAGAAATATAAACTATTTACAAATAAAAATGATATAATATCTTAGATTTACATTAAAATAATCCAGGGCATGGGGCCTGGGATTTAGCTCAGTGGTTCCACCATCTGCTTTGCAAGCACAGGTCCCGACTTCGATTCCCAGTACCAAAAAAAAAAAAATCCAAGGCAGGCAACAAGATAAGCACTATGTTGCTAAGATTGAAGTTGGATGTTGGTTAGGGGGAGGCTCACTACACTGTTCTACTTTTATATATTTAAAAACTTCCTTAGTAAAAGATGTAGCATAAATACATCCTCTTTCTCTTCTTTTTTATTTATTTAATTTTTTTTTTTTCCTGGTACCAGGGATCGAACTCGGGTCCTTGCGCTTGCGCAGCAGGCAATGAAACCACTGAGCTAAATCCCTGACCCTGTCCTCTTTCTCTTCTGAAAAATCTGTTTACTTTGACTATTTTATATATGTTATAAGCAGGATAAAAGCCTTAATCTCATTCTTACCTACAATTTAAATATCTCCTCTAAACATAAATAGCATAAGTTCCTTGCATTTTATAAACCTAACTGTAAAGACCTACCATCTTTTTTAAGGATTCACCGTATTTTGTCCTTACTATAGGTACCTACTATTGGAAAAACATTTATCTTCCTTATAATTTGGATCTGGTACTGTGGTAAAAATCCAGTAAACAGGAAAAAAAAATAACAATAATCAAACAAATTAATCCACTGAATTAGTTTTACTTCAAAACTTCAGGTTCTAGTCATCAGAGATATTCTCTCTTAACACAGCCCTAGTTTCCCACAGCACAAACCTTGGTGATGTACAAACTAGTCTTACCCTCTGGAGGATCCCTAAGTCCACTGTCCGTCATGGTTGTGTTCTATCGCTTCAGAATTCGAACTAGTTTTTTTGTTTTTTAGTGCCTGGGTTTCTTTGTGAAGATATCTTGTTTTCTTCTCATCCCAAGTCCCAACAGACTCATGCTTCCTTGGACCCAGGAAACAGGGTTACATACCGTGACTAAAATAAAATGGAAAAAATGAAATGACTTTTTATTCAAACAAAGACAAAATGCCAATTTCAGTATTATTTATTAAACCTCTTTAGTCTGGAGTAGTATTTCCTCTCTGAAATCTTTTTAGTAAAGAAAACTGCTTTCTAGCTTTCACCAGGATCATATTCTAAATCCTGTATCACAAAAACAAAACAGTTTCAGACTATTAATCTTCCATAGATGTCACAATCACCAAATATATTACAGTGTAGGTAAAAAAGTATAAAAAGTAAGACCAAGTGACCAGAATCTTTGGGTTTTTTTGGTACCGGGGATCGAACTCCGGTCCTTGCGCTTGCACAGCAGGTGGTGAAACCACTAAGCTAAATCCCTGGCCTAAAACTTTTATTTTTAAGTACTTTGGAATAGAATAAAGTATAAAACTTTAATATATTGTGTATTGATAGTAAGAATCAAAACCACTAGTGCTGATTTTCTCCAAATGAATCTCTAAATTCAATGCAAGTTGAAATGAAATCTCAAGAGTTTTTTGGGGGGTGGGGGTTCTAATGGGATAGACAAACTGATCCTAAAAGTCACCAAGAGCAAGCCATAGAACAAAGGATAAAGAAGAGCTAAGAAAAATCTGAAGAGAACTATCTTTTTCATATACTAATGCTTACTGTAAACTAATAATAATAAGACACTGGTGTAAGGATAGACATACAAAATAGTCAATAAATCCATGTATACATATGTAAAGGAAATCAGCTAGATGACAAAAAATAAAGACTGGATTAATAAATAGTTAAGGAAAAAGTGACTAGTGGGGCCGGGGATTTAGCTCAGTGGTTCTGCTGCCTGCCTCACAAGCACAAGGTCCTGAGTTCGATCCCCAGTACTAAAAAAAACCACAAAACAGTGATTAGTCAAATGAAGGAAAAAACTGGTTTCTATCTCCCACCTCACACAAAAAAATCAATTTCAGATTAAAGACCTAGATATAAAATGAAGCTTCCAGAAGAAAATATAAAATATCTTTATAATCTCAAAGGTTTTTTGCATAAAATATTATATACACAAATCTTAAAACTTGACAGGGTCGGGGAGTTAGCTCAGTGGTGCCGCCACCTGCCTCACAAATGCAAGGTCCTGAGTTCATTTCCCGGTACCAAAAAAATAAAATAAAACTTGACAAATGTGATCGCATTACAAAATTTTCATTTGTATACAAGATATCAAAGTTAAAAGGTAAGTTGCTGACTAGGAAATATCTGCATTACATACAATCCAAAAGGAATTAATACCCAGAATATATAGACTCCCTGAACAAGCAGATCAACAAAAAGAAAACCAAAAGCCTAATGAATACGTAAAAAGAATACTCAAGGAAGTGCAAAAATAATTAATAAGATACCATTTCACAACCAGATTAGTAAAAAGTAACTAAGTATTGGTGAGGATATTGAGGTAGAGAGCTCTTCAACCCTACTGGCACTGAGGGAAACTGATCCTACGAACCAGAAGAGCAAGGCAGCAAGTAGTCAAGACACATATCTACTATATCTTACACACTAGCAACTCTACTTTTAGACATGGACAGACACACATACTCAAGCATGTCTACTGTAGTATTATTTAAAATGAGGAAAAACTAGAAAACCTAACTATTCATTAGTAGAGAAGAGGGTTAAAAAAATTGTGGCATACTCTCATAATGTAACACTATATACAGCAATTAAAATGAATGACTTGGGAGCGAGCTGACGCACCCGGGCCGCGGCTTCGGGAACTATGGTGCTTCCAAACATCCTGATCACCGGTACCAGGAGTTGGAAAAACCACACTAGGCAAAGAACTTGCATCCAGATCAGGACTAAAGTACATTAAAGTGGGTGGTGTAGCTCGAGAAGGGGCATTATATAATGGCTATGATGAAGAGTATGAGTGTCCCATTTTAGATGAAGAAAAAGTAGTTGATGAGTTAGAGAACCAATGGCAGAAGGTGGAGTTATTGTTGACTACCATGGTTGTGATTTCTTTCCTGAACAATGATTTCATGCAGTTTATGAATTGAGAACAGATAACAGTATATTGTACAAAAGACTTGAAACAAGGGGTTATAATGAGAAGAAACTAGGAGACAGTATCGAGTGTGAGATTTTTCAAGTTATTTATGAAGAGGCCATGTTATCATACAAGGAAGATATTGTGCACCAGCTGCCCAGCAATATGCCTGAAGAGCTAGAGGACAACATAAACCAGATCTTGAGATGGACTGAGCAGTGGGTCAAAGCTCACAACCCGTGACTGGTCACCTGGTGGTGCCTCTTTGCCCACCTTGCACACACAGCCTCCAAGTATCTGTAAAAACCAAAGCTATGTGGAAGGCCCAGCAGGTATTTTTATGCCTGGGTTTCTTTTTCTCCATGAGAAAGTTAAACAATCACAAATATAATGAATACAATTATTATTAAGCATTTAAAATACACATCAGTTGCTAAACAATAAGTCTGATCAAATGGAAAATAAAATAAAATGAATGACTTAGATTACAACACAAAACATTTAAAAAGAAACACTAAACAGTGATTCAAACAGAACTGAACAAGGGGCTAAAAATGATCAACTACCATTATATGCCACAACATGAAGGAATCTAAAAACTATGAGTAAAATAAGCCACACATACAAATATGTGCAAAAATATGTGTAGAAAGTTCAGCATAGCAAATAGTTGTGATCTATAGTGACAGAACAGATTAAGTGGTTCCTGGGAAGAATATGGGCTGGAAAACATGAGGAAACCTTCCAGGGTAATGAAACTAATCCATTTACCATCAAACCTAAAAGTCTGTATATTCACTCTATGTATTCTCAAACTTTACTGCAAACAAAATGCTTTCAAAAATGTATTATTTGGTAACTACATTACAGTAAAAGAGAATCAGCAAAAGAACCATATTTCTCAATTCTACAAATGCTTAACACACACCTTTCCTGTCATAAGCACACCTCAATCCTCCAGCTTCATTGAGACTCTTAACACATCATCACTGTCCATAGCTGAAGTGGTATTCCCTTCACTGCTACAAGGAAGAAATGGGACAAACAGAATAGTTCTTAACACATCCTCACAAAAAGTCATGTGATCAGGTATCTGGGAGAGCTGCAGATCAGTTTGAGATAGGTCAATCTTTAGAACAGTGTCCAAGTTGTATCAGGAAATGTGTTCATTAGGACCCTCAGAATGAAAGTGAAACAAAAATGCTTGTATCTTGAACAAAAATGGGGTTGTCAGAGACTCTCTAGCTGTAAGAAACACCAATCCATAAGTGTTTCCAAAAAGATATCTTTGATGCCATCTTTTGCAACATAGAACTGATAAAAATCTATGTGTGGGCCTGGGATTTAGCTCAGTGGTTCTGCTGCCTGCCTTGCAAGGGCAAGGACCCGAGTTCGATCCCCAATACCAAAAAGAGAGACCTATGTGTGTCATGGGCACAAAGCCATTTGCTTTTAGTGAATTCCTTAAAAGTTCAATTGTGAAATGGTGGTTTTTGGTGTCCCAGGGTGGATGATAACAGATGATAACAACTCGTTTTTCTACTTAAAAACAATTCATTTTCTCCTCTCAAAGTCATCTCCACTTCCTTGTGACCCTGAAATCTGCAGCAAAACTTGATCACTTGATCAGGGCTTGGAATAGTTAAAATCTGTAAGATTCCTTTTCCATTTACTAAATGATAGGGTAAGGGATGCCTTACTTAGTTCTGATTTCCTAAACTTCTCTCAGGAGGGTTACCAATTTATCTCAGTGCTACATCTGCAAATATGGCTTTCCTGTACTGTCTTTTAAGAAGCATGCAACTTTTCTGACTAATCTCATTTTATAATGTTAGGTGCTTTGGCAACCTTGAAGGTGTCATTGTCTGGTAAACCACTGACTTTGCACGGCAGTCACAAAACCAAGTTTAGAAAACTCCAATATAAAAATTAAGTACTATAAGTATAAATAAAAATTGATGTGTATTACCAGTTTATATATAAATGTGAAACTAATAAAGTTTTAAATATAGTCAATTCTTTGTCATTTTGTATATTGCTTACATATATAAATACATAATTTTATGGAAATTGTATATATATACACAATTACTCCTGGAAGGAACAAGAGTGGGTTTTCAACTATATAAGTAAAATTTATTTAAAAATACTGTTAATGTATTTCAGATATGAGTGTTATTCTCTGTACTTTTCTGTTTGATGTAGTTTTTTAAATTAGTAACAAAATATATTCACTTCTGTAGAAAAGCAAAAAGGACCTATAACTTTGAGACCACATACAATGAACTTAAGATTACAACAGTGTATTTCAACCACAGCATCCTTACACATTTTGTCACAACCAGTTAAAGAAAAAGGACAAGCTGCCTGTGACAAAATTCAGAGCTGCCAGAGCAGCAGGATCTTACCCATCCTCCATCCTCCAAACCTGTGTTGCCAAGGGACCAGGGAAAAGAAGAGAGTGGCTAAAGAAGGGGGGCAGGGGGGAGATGGGAACCAAACAAACAGGACCTAGGTAAAAGCAAGCAATTAAAAATTTTTAAAGGAAATTAAAAGTTTAGCAGCTAAAAGGAATCAGTCCTCCCAGGATGGTGGTTTAGATATAAATGTCATCATGACAAATGTTTAACACTAAATTTATATAATTAAAAAAATTTTTTTAGTAAACTATGATATTAAGACTCCCTTGGCCCTCAAGCAACCCTGACAACCCTGCTGGGGGGACAAATAACATATAAAACAAAAACAACTATAAGAGCTAGTATTTACTGAGGGTCTCCTTTGTGCCAGGCATAAGTACTTCATGTACTAACCCATTTAAACTTCACACAATCACAAAATACGGGTGTTAATATTTCCACTACTTTCCGGATAAAGAAATAGATACAGGGTTTAACACCATTGTGATAAAATGTGGTAAGGGTCTTGGGTCATTCATTCCTCCAGGTCTCTTCACCTTTTTTACCAAACATTTGACTTAAAATTCTAGGCTCAATCTCAGTCCCAAGAGCAATCTTTTCCTTCATCAGATTTAAATTTTTAGTAATTCAGCATCAAGTTCTAAATAGCTTCAATCCCTGTTCGAAAATGAACTCACCTTATTCTCAGGTTCTAATTTCTGCCTTATTCCCTTAACTTTTCCTATGTAACATATGATTGGTATATGCAAGCATATTTAAACCCTACACTGGTATGAGATAGGTATTTCACAGATGAAGAAAGTAGGTAAGAGTGTTAAAATACTGTACCTAGGTCATCTAATAGTGTCAATTAAAATAACAAGGCCAGCTGGCTGAAAGATAATAATCTTTCCTCCACAAAAAGCTGTTTTCAAGTTGGGCATGTTGGCACAGACCTATAATACCAGCATTTAGGAGGCTGAGGCAGGAGGATTGCTACAGGTTGAAGGCCAGCCTAGGCTACACAGTGAGTTCAAAGCCAACCTAAAATACATACTGCAACCCTGTATCAAGAACAAAGCAGTTTCAAGTCATGTCCAAGGGTTGCCAGGGAAAAACTGGTAAGATGAAAGGAGTACTGCTCATCTCACTTTTACAGATAGCCATGACATGTAGACTCTCTTTTGATGTCATACTTATTTTTTGCCTGTCTGCTAGCCTTTTTCTCCTGTAACTTAAGAAATGAATCTTATCTCAGTCACCCACATCTCATGAAGCCACCTCTTTAGTAAATATATTTTCTTTCCAAATTCCCTTTGATGAATGTTATTGTTATGTATATTTAAATTGTACCAATAAAATTATTATTTTTTTTTTTTGGTACTGGGGATCGAACTCAATAAAATCAATTTTTAAAAATAAGCTAATATATTTTCTTCCCTGTCTGCCCCAGCATGTTTCCACTCACAAATCAGCCGTAACAGGAAATAGTCATAATGATCACCTTAGAAATGCTACCATTATGGATCATATTATCTATTCTTCTACACTATGAAATAGAGACTAATACGGCTGGCACAATTTAAATCATGAGATTTCCCAGATGTTAGAATTTTAGCAGCCTATTTATATTTTAATAAGATTCATTATTCATATCAACCACTACATGTACTATTTTAGAGTAATCTGCAATATTTTAAGCCATGTGAAGCCATACTACAAAGACCTAAACTGAAAATTACAAAGTCTTCTTAAATTTTTCCTTTGCTCTATGAGCTCTACAACATTGATTTCTGAGAGCCATATAACCATGTAACATGTACACAATAATATAATCATGTTTGAAAGTAAAGTACCCTTTTCACTATGACTTTTTTTCTTCCTCTCACTGGCCCATATACTCGAAGAGTATAATGTCACCAAACAGAACTTTCCTTTGTCATGAGTGCTAGGACGGCCCTGATTAAAGAAAAATATGGCTAAGCTATGACCCAAAATATCCAAGGGGATCTTCATATAAAGGAAACCACTTTATATGTCACTGGCAAAGAAGTAATAAACACAGCTGAATATGATTTATTCAAAATGCTGTGACCATAAATGTTTCAGATTTCAGGTTTTTCAGATTTTGAATACCTGTATAGACTTCACTGGCTTAACAGCCCTAGTCCACAAATCCAACTACTGTGTCGCTACCTTGCAGTATTGTAAGTACTCACTCAGCTCCCTTCCCTTTAACCCTAGTAAGTAAATACTATGGGTGTGCTGTTGCAGTATTTCTCAAAATACAGTCCACAGAACACCTGCACAAGAATCACGTAAGGTGCTATTCCTGGACTTCATAATATGCAGATTCCCAGACTTTATAGCAATCTTAAGTAATCAAAATTTCTAGAGTTTAAGATACTTGCATTTTAAAATAGGTACTCCCAGTTACTGCCTAGATGTTGAGAAACCAATGATATAAACCTTTTTATTGTGGCCTTACTATCTAATATAACTGGTTAAAACAAATTTTATCTATATTTTGCTAATATTTAAAATTTCACATATGTAGAATGTTTCTTAGTGTGTGTCCTTGGACCATAAGCATTCTCTAATAACTGAAAAAATTTAGGATGCAATAACATGGATCCTAATAACATCCTCAAAACCACTACCTCAAAATAAACTTTCTCTAAGAGCTTAAGAATAATGAGTTAATTACAAGTTACTGGTAAACTACTCTTCACTCAGTTTAGCAGTCCACAGTTTATTCAGCAATAACAGGAGAGAACCGTCATCATGACAGACATTAAGGCAGATAACAGGGGTGAATTTCTGGGGTACATTATACAGAAAAACAAATAACTTTTAGATTTTACAATGTGTGGCAAATATGATTTGTTGCATTAGCAATAGCATTCATTCTCTACTGCTTCCTTCCTGAAAGAATTCTAATTTTATGAGCAGAGGCAATGTGCCTTACCTGGGGAATGCCAATTCCATTCCCCTTTGCCAGGTTTTCCCACACTCATGCAATGGTACCTTCTAATGAGATGTGAAAAGAATTCTTCTAGGGACTTTTGGGAAAAGTTTTATTCCCAAATAAAGGCCAGAATTGAAAGAAGAAAGCCCTCTGCTCCCTACTTCTAGCTTTTGATTGGTGCTGAAATGTCTGGTGCAACAAACCGTATAGCACTCATTGAGGAAATAGCCATGAGGACAAAAAGCAGGCATAAGGATCCCAACAGGGGAGGACAGAAAGAACATGGGTCTTCGATAACATCTTTGAGCTGCCACACAAGCACTAGATTACCTTGCATTTTAAGTGGAATTTAAAAATTGTTCAGTGGCTTCTGAGAGATTTTAAACAGCTTTTTCAAAGTTACCTAACTGTTAACACTGGTTTCAGGAGTTTCATAAATAAGTGGCCAGAATGTGGCCACTGTCTAGCAAGGCTTTCTTAGTTTTAAGAAAGATGCGCCCACAATACTGTTCAGAATATATATTGAATCTTGATAATTCTTTTTTTTCATAAATCTCATTATATAGGTACTTTCTCATTTCTAGGACAGGACATTTTAAGTTTAGTCACCACATAGACAGGATAGTTTTTGGTTATATAGAACCAAGTAAGTATAAACAGGCAGCATTCTTACATCTTTTTGTGTAACCTATGTTAAGTGTTGCCTTACAGATATGACTTCTCTGATAGTGACCAGTTATTAATATTTTGACAACCACTCGAAGGATGAGCCAAACAAAACCAATGAGGAATGAACAATTACATATGAATAAATTTTATATATATACATATACATACATATATTTATTAATGAAAAGGGGGATTTAAAACAACAGTTTCTTATTAAAATTTATTGGAATAATCTAGAAACCAACTACAGTGAGTATGCTTTCCCACAGAAGTTATTGCTAGAAATACAATTATGGGGCACACAGTATGAGGCCTGCCCTTTAAGACTATCTTGTCATGTGTCAGTAATTAGGCTCTGGAACTTCTTAGGAGAGACAAGCTAGTTCTAAAACATCATTTATAAGGATTATGGATTTGTCTGGTTCTAGATGAACAGTCCCTCTGGAATACTGACTAAATTCATGCTGAACAAAATAAGTGTAGACCACAGAAGCAGACTCAACAATTTAAGGAGTTCCCAAAAATAGTGACCATCTGGATCAGATTTAGAAATAAAGGCTGGGGGCGGCTCGGTGGTAAGCACTTGTCTACTAGAGCAGGTATTGGGCTCCAGTACCACAAACAAAAAATAAAAGAGAATAAAAAGAGAAATTAAGTTATTTTTCCATCTTCCTTAGGCTTCTAGCACAAGACTCTCTAGAATTTCCATGATTTTGACCATTATAGAAGTTACTTGTTTTGGCCAAGTTTTTTGTTTAAGGTTTTGTCTGTTCTGGTCAAGATTAACTGTAATGCAGGGTTAAAACCAGCTACTCTGGAGTCATGTATCTTTTTTCTAAGCAGTGGAGGACCCAGAAGAAAGGGATGGCAAGCTTTTTCAAAGGTCCACCTGGTGAGATTTTGGGGAGCCCACTCAAGTGGGAAAGACCAAGGAAGAACAAGGCTTCTATTAGCAGGATTATCAGGATAACATTCAGGGCAATAATCTGCTCTATTAATACGGTCTAAAAAGACTTGGTAACATTCATTTTCAACAAGTTCAGTTTGGTACAACCAGTGGCCTAGTTCTAAACTAGGAAACCACTGTTGTCCACAATCAGGACAATGTGAATTGTCTGAGAACATCTGGACTTAGAAAGACAATACAGAGAGCAGAGTAACAACAAGAGACAAAAATGACAGAAAGATGCCCAAATAACAAGTCCTATTAGAGGTTTGGATTAGCAACTTCTCAGTTCAACAAACATTATTTGAAGAGGGTTAACTTTGGCTTGCACTTCAGTGTAATTCTTCAAGATTTCAATGTCTATCTTTCACTCAATTACAAGTCTCTGAACTTGGGGATCAATCCAGTCTATAATGTTAGCAGTTACTTACTAGCAGCACAGATTTCAGAATAGCTCCTCCAAAACTCAGCTTCTCAAGAAAAGACAGGGCTCTAGTCTAAGTAAGTTATTCTTTTTCCTTGGGCTTTATCAGCTGGTGATGGTGTCACACAGGGGAACTTGGCTTACTCTACTTTGTTGATAAGGTTATTACATTTGGTGATATAGAGAAGCTGAGAGGTCCAATGAGTCCTTTCCTGGTGCTGGCACTCTTGCCGTTGTAATACACGTAACCAAGTCTTAAGGCCTTGGCATTTTACAGCGATGTAGGGGGCTCAGGAAACCCTGGCAGTCCTCTTGAACGTGGATCCAATGAAGTCTGTCTTGGGAGAACCTTAATCTGGACCCAGTCACAGAGAAGTAGCTGATGTTGAGTTGGCTGAAGGGTCTGGGAATGCGTCACATACCTGTATAAATGATAAAACTTCAGACGACTCATATGAGCTTTGCAGTTGCTCACAATATTATTAGAAACATGCATTTGGAAATTATTTGGGTCAGTTAAGGTAGATGAAAATTGTCTCATGTGTTTTCCCATGACAATTTATTATGAGTTCAAACTACTTTATCTGTTGGGAACTACTCTTATGCCCATATGGGCAGTAGGAAGGGTTTTGGATCATTTCGGATTTACACTAGGACTGACTTAATTTTTTTCTTAGGACCTTATTTCTTTTTTATACTCCTTTAGTACTCTGAGTATAATAAAGTCTGTATACTCATGCTTAACCTGATAAACTCGGAGACTGCTAGTATATCTCTCCTGTAAAATGGGTGCTATGTATGGTATTCCCATAATGTACGTGATAACATTAATAATGACAGCCTGTCCATGACAGACTTCAATCCAGCCAGGAAAAAGCTTACAAAATTACAGTGGGACCTAGTTCACAAACTTGATTCTTTCCATGATCCTGGCTGTAAACTGAGTTGGATGAGAACAAATCAAATTCAGTGGTTAGGTTCAATGTTGACCTTATGGGGATATTTGATTCAGTTCTCATCCAGTTTGATTTCTGACCAGAATTGTGGAAAGAACTGAGTCCGTGAACCAAGGTATTACTGTATTAGATAATATTCTTAGTAGGTAGTTGGATAAAACACTTTTGAAAGCTGAAAAAAGAAACCAATGGAAGAGATCTCATTGCTCATATATATCTTATAGGTTGACGCACATTGTCATGAAAAGGCAAGTAAGGCATTGCCCTGAACAACAGACCTGAGTTATCTTGCAAAATGCACAGTCAATCAGCTCGAATTAGCAGATGCTATCATCATCTTTCTACTTCCTCACAACACTGAATGTGACAAACAGTGGTGTAACAGAATACAGGAACAACTAGATGGCTACCTAGGGTCCAATCCAAATATACACTCTGGCTTTCTCCAGTGTTCTTTCTGTAAAGAAAAGGATTAGGTAGAGGGATTAGGTAGTTGCACTGTATAAAGAACTGGCCTGAAAAGCAGGAGTTCCAGCCTTAATTGTATTCAGCCAAAGCATTTTCCTCACAGACTCTCAAGAATAGTTATGACTCTCGATTTTAAAATGGCAAGTTGCAAATGCAACTGAAAAGGCTGGCAGTGCTAGGAAATGGGGCCCATATTTTGATGGGAGCCACAAAGAAGGTCAAAGATTGTCAGTGTAGGTATACAGATGTATTTTCTGAGGTTAGGTAACAATGTATGGGTGAGGGCCACCAATTTAGCTCCTTAGGGTGAACAAAATATATGGCTCCCAACTCAAGGGATTACTTCCTGGTGACAAGAAAGGGAATAGATTTCCCTGCATCTCTGTTGACAAGAGTTTTAGCAGCAAGAAATTTCAGTTGCGGGATCAAATCTTGGGCCTAGTTACAGCACACATGAACAATGAATGAAATCCCCCCAATTGTGGACTTCATTAAATATAAATGAAGTTACATCACTAAGCCTGTCATTTAAAAGATAATTTGAGGTTTCTTAGAGTAAATCAGGGAAATGCAATTAAAACCATAGCAAGATACCATTTTCCCATCCACCAGGCTGGCAAGAATCAACCACTTACTAATCCAATTATTTAAGCAAAAATTATTTGACCAAAAATTGCATATTTTCATTAATTGTTATAAGATAACAGGAAATATAAAAACGACAATTTTATCAAATTTACTCAATACAAGAACTGATTGGTTGAAATGACACCTGCCCAAACAGTATTCAGGATAGTATGCAAACAAAGGCGCTGCCAAGTGACCCTGCCTGAGTAATGCTAGGGGTAAACTGTTAAGTGGTTAACAAATTTGATACTCTAGGCAAAACCACCAGTCCCCTCAGAACTCCAGATCTCCACTTGCAAGAGTCAAAAGAAAGCCCTAAAGCTCTAAGGGCTCAATCCACCTTCGTTCCTCCAACCTTGTAAGAGGCAAGCAAGCACCACAGCTCCTACTATTACCGAAACAAGAGAACTCCACTATTCCATGTTTCAGACAAGCCACCTTTCCCCTACTCCCTCAAACCAATATAGGCAAGAGTCAAAAGGGATCTCTAAATCTCCAAGTGAACCCATTACCAGCCTCCTCAACTCATGCTTCAGCTTTATCACTACTGGATTAAGTAGAAGTGAAAAGAAAGAGCCCAGAAATGTTCCTAGAAAGAGTCCCAATCTTGCAACTCCACCAACATTCACAGCTTACCATTTTTTGCTTGAAAGCACCAGGAACAATGTCATACTTGTATCTCTGTTCATGTCAGTAACCACATGAAGCCCAGGCCTAAACTGTCACATGGCTCTAAGGGCAGGGAAATAACACTCCCTGCTTTGTTTCTCCCACAAAATTTGTATCGTTTTGCTATTGTATGTATTTTAGCTACTTTCCATCGCTAAAATATAAACTAGTAAAAACGGGGCTTTTTGCCCTGCTAAGTACTAAGTAAATATTTTATGAGTAGTACAGTGTAGGGGCTGGGGATTTAACTCAGTGGTGCCACTGCCTGCCTCGCAAGCACAAGGTCCTGAATTCGATCCCCGGTACCAAAAAAAAAAAAGCAGTACAGTGTATGTTTGTGACACATAATCATAATACTCATTTTGAGAACTTTGTACATATGTATCATATCCTGATCAGTTTCAATAATCCTCTCCCCTCCCCAATTCCCCTAATCTACCTTCCTATTTCCAAAAAGTCTGCCTATTTCCTACCATTCTCCTTTATTTTTACCCTTTAAGAGAAACCATGTGGTATTTAACCTTCTATGTCTGACTTGACTTAACCTTACGGCCTCAAGATCTATCCACTTTCCTACAAATGACTTGAATTCATCCTTCTTTACTTGAGAAATATCTCAAATAAATGCAATAAAGAGTAACTTCAATCTGTATACTCTATAAATATAGGAGTGTAAATGAGTACAATCACTTTTCGATTTGCCATGGTCAGATAAAGCTGAAGATATCCATTTCCTATATCTTAGGAATCCCCTTTTTTGGCATATACCCAGAGAAACTACAATGTATTTTTTTAAAAAATGAATAAAAATCTATACAGTAGTGGGCGGGGGATTTAGCTCAGTGGTTCCATCGCCTGCCCCACAAGCACAAGGTCCTCAGTTCGATCCTGGTACCCCCCCTCCAAAAAAAATCTATATAGTACTGTATAATCGCAAAACAGCCAAAATGTCCATGAATAGTAAAATGGATGAATAAATTTAAGGTGCTGCCACAATGGAATATCATACATATATAGATGAAACTCAAGAATGCTAAGCTTTAAAAAAAAAAAAAAAGAATTTCAAAGATAAACATAAAATTTTTCTTTTAACCTGGAGGAATGTTCACTGTATCATAAATCCTACTAGCGTGCACTATCTTTATTTAATATTTTATAATTTCAATAAAGCATAAACTGACAGAAAGATTAATAAGCAAAACCAAATCAAATCACATTATGGACAAGACAGCAGCAAATACTCTGCTCAGAGCCAAAGTGGGTGTCATATCCTGGAATAAAGAGGGATTCTAAAGGAGGATATGGAGCTTTGTTTTTCTCATAAAACTGTAAGCTTCATATCTTCATAGAAATAGGTAAAAGACACCTACCTAAGGCTGGTATGTAAAAGTTTATCTTGGCATACTTCGGGAAACAATGAATCTGGGTGAGGGACATTTGCACAAATTAGAAAACACACCCTTCCTCCAGGCAAAATGTAGCCCAGAGAACCTCACTTAGCCAGGTATTCACAAGCACACAGATTATACAATTTAGTAACAATAGCTAACACTGAGGGAGCACCACTTTCTGTTATAAACACTTTACATGTGGTAACAATTTTATCTTTGTAATAATCCACTGAGGGATTATTATCCCCATTCTATTATAAAACGGATTTAGGCAACTTTCCCAATGTCACACAAGTAATTCAGAAGAAACTAGATTGAATCTAGACAGACTGGTTCTAGAACCTGTACTCTCAACTACTATGAAATAATACCCTTCCATAAACAGAAAGCTAAAGTTTTTTTTTTTCTAGAAGCTGTTGCAAAAGTACAGAATATGTCTAATTGTAATATATAATGGAGTTGAGTGGAAGAAATCACCCCTTATAATTTTCTTCCCACACAAAAAGATAGAGATTTCAAGGAGTCCTGAATTCTCTGAAATTACACATTAAAAAATGTATACTTTTTTTTTTTTTTTTAAAGTACTGGAGGTTGAACCTAGGGCCTCGAATATGCTACCACTAGGTTGGCCTCAAACTTACCAGCCTCCTGTCTCAGCCTCCCAGATAGCTGGAATTACCGGTTTGTATCACCATGTTTTTTCCAGGAAGATGGCACATACTTAAGGACTCCCAGAGGAGACTAAGATGGTTGAGAATCAGTAAACATTAAATGGTTCCTAGTCATTTCACTGTCAAAGGTAACTTTTATTTCTAGAATTACCACCCCTCAATCTCCATTCTGGCAAACTATTCAAGTAATCTTCACTCTTGCAGTGATTTCATCATTTTTATTAATCAGAC